TGCCTGACTGCATTGTGCCAAGTATTAATTTTGGTGGAGGTGGGATTATGGTGTAGGGAAGGGCTTGGGCCCCCTAGTTCCAGTGAAGGGAACTCTTAAGGCATCAGCATAGCAAGACATTTTGGACAATTTCATGCTCCCCCCTTTGTGGGAAGAGTTTGGGGATGGCCTCTTCCTGTTCCAACATGACTGCTCATGAGTGCACAAAGCAAGGTCCATAAAGACATGGAGGAGCCAGTTTGGGGTGGAGGAACTTGACTGGCCTGCACAGAGTCCTGACCTCAACCCCATAGAACACCTTTGGGATGAATTAGAGCGCAGACTGCGAGCCAGGCCTCCTCCCCCGACATCAGTGCCTGACCTGACAAATGTGCTTCTGGAAGATAGGTCCAACCTTCCCATAGACACCCTCCTAAACCTTGTGGATGGCCTTCCCAGAAGAGTTGAAGCTGTTATAGCTGCAAAGGGCGGGGCCAACTCAATATTGAACCCTACGGACTAAGACTGGGTTTAAAGTTCATGTGTGTGGAAAGGCAGTACTTTTGGCAATATAGTGTGTGTGTGTGTGTGTGTGTATATATATGATACATAGTAGGAATATCTGTGCCCTACTTTCTCATCCACTCCATGCGCCCTCCTAAGTGAGCACAACCCACTCTTTACGCCCGCCCCCTCATTGTGCACACCTAATCCTCTGATCCCCTCATTCTGCCCCCCAACTCCATACACCCCCCACTGTGCACCCTCAGTCCCTCTACTCCCTTATTGTGCATCCCAACTCCATATATACCCCCTTCCCCCCCAGGCTCACTGGTAGTTGGAAGAGTTCCATTGTATACCAGTTGATGATGGTTTAAGGGAGGAGAGGAGAAAAAGGTGAAGAGAGATCAGAAGCATCCTCAACTGCACTGAGCAGCGCACTGCCACACATTCAGCAGGAGCTTGCTCTGCACAGCTCCACCCACTTTGACCTAGAACCAGCCAGGTCATCCACCCTAAGAAGGAGAGAGCGGAGTTAGCATGCCACTGACAGCAACTACCACTAGATAGCGCTACAGCCAGCATTGGCAGCAATAAGATTGTCCTTTCACCTGCAAACCCCCCACTCTGCTGTGACCCGCAGGCTGGGGGATTTATCCAGTTTTTAAACTTTTGGTAAGAGTTCTCATTTAGGAGCAACTCTAAAAATTTTGCAGGTGATGTAGAAAAGCCCCTTTTACCCAAATATGAACACATTACACATTTTAATATTGTAAAAACTTTTATTGTCTTCAGTAAATAGAAATCCGTAAACACCACTTAAAGTTCAACAAGGGAGAAACCCTTAAAAATAGCGTGACCAATCCGCATCCACCATTTTAAGTTGCTTTTCTTTTGGCGGCTCTACAATTCATCTTTGGACTTCTCAGGAGGAACATCTTCCACTTTAATGTCTCCTCCCCGTTCATCTTTTAGATTTTCTATAATCTGTATATAACAGAAAATATTTAAAGCATATGTACATCTTAATGAACATATTCTTCCCTTTTAGGTCACAAATAAAAATGTTTCATTAGATCTGTTGGATAGGAACAAAAATACATTCATTGATCCTGTTAGAAATCCGGGGCTGCCCTGTACTCTGCAATGTCCTCCAAAACAATATTAACAGAAATTGTTTTGGAACTACAGAATACCTCCAAATCTATGTTACTGAGATGAGAGTGGGAGGTGTCCTGTAGTCAGAACATTATAAAAATGTGAACAGTGAGCGCAAAAGGAAAAATGGAAGCAGCTGGCACAATGTGGCAAACCCTCCACTTCCAGTATACAAACAGAAAAAAGGTGCAGCGCTAAGTGTGGGAAATTGAATGTTGTACAATACCATACAATATTAGTGTACCAAAATAATGAGAATAATAACCAAAAATGAATTGTCCAGCATATTACAATAATGAATAGCAAATATGGGAATGTAATTCAATATAATCCCCAAAAAAACTCATGTGCCAATAATGACCAGAATTGTCCAACATGTGATGTGAACCAGTAGTGACCAGTAATAACGGTGACTTCTGTGATGATACTCCACCACTATGCACTCTCCAGAAGTAAAAAAGCAAGCCAGCATTAAATGGAAATGACTCCTAGGAACGTATCTGTCCACTTCCTTCCACCAGTCACTGGTCCAACCAGGATAAAAGTACCTCCTAAGGGAAGAGCTCACAAATAGAGCCCGGAAGCAGCGCAATATATTGTATGTTTTTATTAAAAATTGCAGCAACCACGTGGGCAATGACATGAGCAAGCAGTGAAATCACTCACAAAGATGGCCGCCGGACCAGCGTATGGACTCGGCGGCGTGACGTCAGCACGTAGGCTCCTAACTGACGCGTTTCGTACACACGCACATTACCAAAGGGACCCGCCTCATACTGATGTCATTACAATGAATGCCTTATATAGGTCTCGGGGGCATGACTGAACCGGTGACGGAGTAGTCAGAACATGCTGCCTGTCCTATGACAAAGCTTCCCCCTCAAAGTTACAGTACAGTGAGTATTTTCACCCTGAAACAGGAAGTGTGTTGTTTGTAGGATCCCCAGTTGAACATAAAGGTTTGCAAATTTAATTGCGTTCCTGGGACTTTTCGTATTGCGAAAAATTCTAAAACCGAAACGCAGTTTCCCATAGGAATGCACTGAAAACAATCCGTTCCGGAGCTGAGAAAAAAAGTCTTTTATTTGTTCAAAACTCTTTATATAAGTGTACTTTAACCGTTTCAATACCGTGCAATTTTACACCTTCCTGCCCAGGCCATTTTTCAGGTTTCAGCGCTCTCACACTTTGAATGACAATTGCGCGGTCATACAACACTGTACCCAAACTAAAATTTTATCATTTTCTTCACACAACTAGAGCTTTCTTTTGGTGGTATTTAATCACCGCTGGGGTTTTTATTTTTTGCTAAATTAAAAAAAAAAAAAGACCAAAAATTTTGAAAAAAAAACACATTTTTCTTTGTTTCTGTTATAAAAGTTTACAAATAAATAATTGTTCTTCATAAATTTAGGCCGAGATGTATTCTGCTACATGTCTTTGGTGAAAATAACCCAAATTAGGATGTATTATTTAGTTTGTAGGAAAGTTATAGAGTTCACAAACTATGGTATAGATCTGAATATTGATCAATCCTGAAGTACTGACGGCCAATCTAATTTCTTGAGGTCCAAGAATGTCAGAACAGTACAGATATCCCCCAAATGACCCCTTTTTGCAGAGTAGACAGTCCGACGTACTTCATAAGAGGCATGGCGAGTTTTTTTGAAGTTGTATTTTTTTGTCATAATTTTTCCAAAAATGAAAAAAATTTTCACTATTTTTTTTTTTTACATACTGCCACCAGTGCAGTACAGCGTCATCATATAACTGGCATGGCGGTGATCAGGGACACTGGTGACAGTATGAAAAAAAAAATAATAATTTTTTTAATTTTTTTTATTTTTTTATTATATTTAATTTTTTATTACATTTTTTTTTATTTTTTTTAAGATTTTTTTTCATATTTTACTATGACCAAAATAGTACAATGTTACCATAGTAACATTGTACTACTTTGGGGAAGTGATCAGTATTTTTTTTTTTTTACACAATTTGCTTATAGCAAAGAATTACTTTGCTATAAGCAAGCATTTACCTGAATGAAATCGATTCATTCAGCTTTTCTTTTTTTTTTTTTTGTGCTTAGCTGTGATTTGGTCACAGCTAATCACATGACATGTGCATGTGATTAGCTGTGACCATTCACAGCTAGGCACTAGTATACAATGGATGGCATCATGAATGAAGCCATCCATGTATACAACTGTCATGTGACCTGCTGTGATTGGTCACAGCAGGTCACATGGTACCAGCAATGGGAGCCGGTACTCAGATCTGTCATCGGCCGTGTCCGAGGTGCACGGCCGACGACAGATCGCACTGCTGCGCCGCTCTGCACTAGTGCAAAGGAATGGAGGAGCACATCTGAAGCCGCCAAATGGCCATTGGCCGGGCGGCTAATGTTTAAAGGCATAAATACTGTACAGGGACATGATTAAAAAATTTCCAGAATGGCTCCAAAACTCGATGCAAAAACCGCTCCAACACCGCCACACTTGACGCCACCTGCTACCCACAGACTCCAGCATGCACGGGGGGCGGCGCTATAAAACCTCCCAGGCGCAATACATCCTAGGGAAACTTGTTACGTATTGCAAAAAAAAAATTTGTAAACCGAGGCATTATTTTCAATAGATTTTCATTCATAAACCAAAAATCACGTTTACCGAGGCCTGACAGCAGCAGTGAGCAGCCTGTGTATGGTTTGTGGGCTTCCAAATTCGTTCGCTTTTCCACCCACCACACAGACATGTGAAATTGCTAGACCACCCCCCCCCCTTATCAGCGGGTCTGATTACTTCCTGAGGACGGCGCTAGGCAAAACATACGTAGAAGCATGATCCCGTCACATTCGGGGTCCCATGACGTCACATCCAGCCTATCAAAAACAAGCCTTGGAGCGCACGCCGGCCATACTATTGGAACACATACCTACACAAGCTGTACCAACTGGTGCCGGTTCTTTGGGCACCTTTACATGCGAGTGTAAAGCTATACATGTATTTGCTATGCAATTTTCAATAAATACCACACTTAGAACGTTTATAATTCATGTGATTTATTTTGAGCTGCTTGGAGCATCACCTTTGTTTTGAGGAGGGCCTGGGAATAAAAATCCATCCACCATTGGTGTACACAGAGTCTTGTGATCACCCAACTGGGGGCAGTTCTCTGTGATTCCCTGGTGACCGGGAGGTCTAACCCAGGATAGCCTATTGCTGGTCTTTAATACTCATTATACATAGTGGTACCTGACCACCTTAACCGGGGTCAATTGTTTCTGGTGAGTGAGACATTCACATATTGTTTGTACAGTAGGTACTTTAGAGATAAATATTAGTTTGGGAACCAAGGGGAGATCACCCCAACCTCTGGTGCTTCATAAGCCCTTCCTTGGTTTTATCAGAGAAAGTCCGACTCGTGCATGAACAGTGTCCTGGGTTATCTAAATCATCTCTACCGATGAGGAGAGAAGTACTAACCTGTTCCTCTTCATCCACGGGTAGCACTCCACCGCTATCGAGAAATTTGGAAAATAATTCCACTGTTCTGTTTTTAGTGTACTCAATCATCTGTTTACGATAAAGAAAAGAGTTTGTCACTTAGATGCAGTTGAGTTTAAGTGATATACATATATATACAGTTGTGCTCAAAAGTTTGCATCCCCTGGCAGAAATTGTGAAATGTTGGCATTGATATTGAAAATATGACTGATCATGCCAAAAAATGCTCTTTAATTGAAGGATGATGATCATATGAAGCCATTTATTATCACATAGTTGTTTGGCTCCTTTTTAAATCATAATGGTAACAAATCACCCAAATGGCCCGGATCAAAAGTTTCCCTCCCCTGGAATATTTGGCCTTGGTACAGACACACAAGGTGACACACACGGGTTAAAGTGACAATTAGAGATTAATGTCCCACATCTGTGGCTTTTTAAATTGCAATTAGTGTCAGTGTATAAATACTCAATGAGTTTGTTAGCTCTTACGTGGAAGCACTGACTAGGCTAGATACTGAGCCATGGGGATCTGAAAAGAACTGTCAAAAGTCCTGCGTAACAAGGTAATGGAACTTTATAAAGATGGAAAAGGACATAAAAAGATGTCCAAAGTCTTGACTATGCCAATCAGTATTGTTAAATCACCTATTAATAAGTGGAAAGTTCGGGGATCTCTTAATACCAAGGCAAGGTCAGGTAGACCAAGAAAGATTGCAGCCATAACTGACAGAAGAATTGCTAATTAACTGACCAGATCAATATCCCAGGAGTTTCATTGACTTCATGCTAAAACTCTGATTTAAAGTGTTCCTTTAATTTTTTTGAGCAGCGTACATACATTATGTTATGACCACCCACCAAATATTGAGCAGATCTCACTTTTGCCACCAAAACAGCCATGACCCATTGTGGCATGGACACCACTAGACCAATCATCACACTGCCTCCGCCGGCTTGCCTTCTTCCCATAATGCATCCTGGTGCCATCTCTTCCCCAGACAAGTGACACACACGCTTTGGCTATCCACATGATGTAAACGCAAACATGATCAGACTAGGTCACCTTCTTCCGTTGCTCTGTGGTCCAGTTCTGAAGCTCATGTGCCTATTGTAAATTGGCCGGTTGGCAAGGGCATCTGACCAGTCTGTGGATATGCAGCCCCATACACAGCAAACGGCAAGGCACTGTGTGTTCTGACACCTTTCTATCAGAACCAGCATTAGGTTTTTCAGCAATTTGAGCTCCAGTAGCTCTTCTTTTGGATGAGACGACACAGGCCAGCCTTTTCTACCTATGTGCATCATGAGCCTTGGCCGCCCATGACCTTGCCACCAGTTGATAGGTTTTCCTTCCTTGGACCACTTTTGGTCAGTCCTGACCACTGCGGATCAGGAACATCCCACTAGAGCTGAAATTTTGGAGTTGCTCTGACCCAGTTGTCTAGTGATTACAATTCGGTTCTTGTCAAAGTCATTCGATTCCTTACACCTGCCTATTGTTTCTGCTTTCAACACATCAGCTTCATGGACAACACTTTCACTTCCTCTCTAATATATCCCACCTTCTTTCAGGTACCATTGTAACTTGGTAATCAGTCGTATTCACTTTACCTGTCAGTGATCATAATGTTATAGCTGATCGGTATATACTTATTAGTTTATTGAAAGCGTGCGAACCACACTCCCTCCCTCCACACTGTATGCTCAGGAGGCACCATTTGATTTAAATGAGTCCAGGTGTTTCTGGTGAAGGGTACTGTTAACATTACAACATACAAAGACATTTGACAATGGTACTCTTCAAGCCTTGTGGTAACAATTTGGTAAAGGCCCTTTTCTGAAGACATTTGACAATGGTACTCTTCCAGTCTTGTAACAATTTGGTGAAGGCCCTTTTCTGAAGACATTTGACAATGGTACTCTTCCAGTCTTGTAACAATTTGGTGAAGGCCCTTTTCTGAAGACATTTGACAATGGTACTCTTCCAGCCTTGTGGTAACAATTTGGTGAAGGCCCTTTTCTGAAGACATTTGACAATGGTACTCTTCCAGCCTTGTGGTAACAATTTGGTGAAGGCCCTTTTCTGAAGACATTTGACAATGGTACTCTTCCAGCCTTGTGGTAACAATTTGGTGAAGGCCCTTTTCTGTTCCAGCATGACTGTGCTCCGATGTACAAAGCCAGCTCCGTAAAGACACGGTTTGGTGTGGAGGAACTCGAGTGTCCTGCACAGAGCCCTGAACTTAACCCTACTGAACACCTTTGGGATGGACTGAAATGCTGATTGAAGGCCAGGTCTTCTCATCCAACATCAGAATCTAACCTCACAAATGTTATTTTGGGTGAATGGATTGGACATACTCAAAAAGATTTTGGAACACCTTCACAGAAGAGTGGAGGCTTTTATATCCCCAAAAGGGGGGCCAACCTAACAGTAAGGTCAGTAGTTTTGGAATGGGATGTCCAACAAGTTGTTATAGGTGTGATGGTCAGGTGTCCACAACCTTTTTTGGCAGTAGAGTATATGTGTGCATTTTATTATCAGAGTCTTACCTTCAGGGCTGTAAATAAGGGGGTGCCACCCATCCTCCTGTACGGGACCCAGGCCAGCAGGGGGGCCCAGGCAGCTGGGTGAATTGATGTGGACTGGGAGGGTGATCGGCACAATGGGGGAGGGGGGGGGGGATTACTAGAACCGATCCCCTGTATAACTCTCTCTGCTGAAAGCTGGCTTCTTCTCCTCTCCCTCCCACTGCTCTTTGAGCCGTTGCAGAGAGAGAGCCATACAGGGGATTGGTTCTAGTAATTGCCCCCCCCCGCTGCACCCATCACCCTCCCTGTGAACCATAGGTTTCCCCCTGTTGCCCAGGCTCCCCTGTGTGCCTCCACCCCCACAGTGCTACCAACTTCCCTTCTCTCCTTCCCACTTGCAGCTGCCATCACACAATAGGATCGTTCAAGATGGAAAATAGGGAAAAGGTCTGGTAAATATTTCACATTTGCCATCCACATCTTTTCCTGAATGAACACAACGAGTGATCTGTATCAATCATTCAATCACTGTGTTCATTCATAACTGAAGCATAGCAAACTGTGTTTTTATTTGGGGGGGCTGTCAGGTTGGCTTTATGGGGCTTTGTGGTTTCTAACAGCCCTGCATACCTTACGTCCTGGTCCAGCAGGGAAAAACCTCAGGTTGGGATATCCTCTCACCCTCATCCCATCGATTTCATTGGCTGTGCCATCCATTTTAGCAATGATGACATCTGGGTGATCTTTGTACTTCTCTCCCAGTTCCTCCCAGATTGGTTCCAACTCCTTACAGTGAGTGCACCAAGGAGCATCTGAAAAGAATTACAAGGGTATGTCAATTAGAGGAGCAAATCAATCGTCTGTGTTTTGTGAAGATTCAAACCACCCAATTAGACATGTACACACTGGAAACTTTTGTTTCGGATGCATTCATTCATTAAAGAATTTCATTTTATCATTTTCATTATGTTGAACCGATTTGTTTTCGGAATTCGTTTTCGTATCTCTGGAATTTATTTAATATATTTGTTACTCCGGGTAGATTAAAAAAAAACAAAATTTTTTGGAAGATTGCTATATATTCGATATGTTATCGAATCAGATGGATTTGAATGGGAAGGATTCAATATTTTCGGATGCTTGCCCAAGCCACCATGGGAAATGGCATGAGCTGATTGGACAATATTGACTGGCATCATGTGCATCCGAATTAATGAATAGAACAACATTCGGATGCATTTGTTATCTGAATTTGAATGATCTAATTAATTTGAAAGTTTAATTAATTTCCCCATGGGCCCGAACTACTATTGTGTCATGTGAATGAAACGGATGCATTTGTTAACTTCGTTATAACTTTTTTTTTTATGGACTTGTTGACATTTGTTTTTACAGTGCCTTGAAAAAAAATACATACCCCTTGAAATTTTCCCCATTTTGTCATGTTACAACCAAAATCATAAATGTATTTTATTGGGATTTTATGTGATAAACCAACACAAAGTGGCAGATAATAGTGAAGTGGAAGGAAAATTATAAATGGAATTCAACATTTGTTACAAATAAATATGATGGTGCAGTTCCTGTGCATATGCACTAGAGTTACATCATCCCGGCACTCGGCTCTGTTCTTGGCATCTTATGTAGATGGAGGGAGGAGTGCAGGGGCGGACTGACCATTTGGAAACTCGGGCACTGCCCAAGGGCCCGGGGTCAGTAGGGGGCCCCATGAGATGCCCCTGGTACCTTTTTCATAGGCTTTTTTGAGTTTGGGCAAGGACACAGGGGCCCCATGATCCCCTATTGCCCGGGGGCCCCATGAGTTGTCAGTCCGCCCCTGGAGGAGTGGGTTAGGAGTGAACACTGCTGTGGGTAGATAGGGAAAGCAGTTTTTTTGCCATTAGGGAATTACAAAGTCCTGATAATGTTTTTTGTTAAAGTGTAAGTTCACTTTTTCACCAAAAAATGAAAAGGTGAACTTTCCCCCTTACACACCCCTTCCCCTGAGATAGGGACCTTAGAACATCATCTCCTTTTGGACAGGGACTGTCCACAATAGAAAGTGTTCTGTTTAAAATGCTGCTTTATACCTCCCTAGGCCCCGTCTGTCCGGACAGTATGGTAACCTACTGACTTGGCACCATCCACAGGCAGCTTAACTCCTCAATTGCACACAGAAATTGAATCCAATGCAATATTACGTCAGCTAATTACAGTGCAGAGGATGTTCTTACAGTCTCTTAAGTGTAAGACGGCAATAACTTTCCCAAACCCTGTCTCTGTTAATCACTAACATCGACTGAACATGGAAGAAGTGGGGAGGGTCTAGCTAGGACTAAACTAACTAGTATTAAAGCAAAACTCCAGTTAGAATTTTTTTCAGCCATGCAGTGGAGGCACCTCCACTGCATGGATTAGCTGCTCATTTTTTCTATTGAGGACTAAGCTCGTACTCGCCTGACCCACGGATCCTATGGAAAACCGTGCTCCCCCTTGGTCCAGTGGTGGACTGTTCCTGTCTGTGGAGTGTGCTTTGAGTGTGCTGATATCAGGAACAGCCCATTTACAAGACTTCTGGACTGTGGGGGGGGGGGGGGGGGCAGGAGCCAAAAGGACCGGTCTTGTGCAGGGAGGATGGGTGGGTCAGGTGAGTATATCTTCACTGTTCTCTCTGCTAGAACAAACAAGTATTTGAGCCCTGCACTGCTGGTACAGCCGCACTGCATGAGCTAATTTTATTTTTTTCCACATTTCTGCTTTAACTGCTTCAGCTCCACCCCATAGCAGAAATACTGCTACAGGGCGGCAGCTGTGCGCAAAATCACGTGTATATACATGATTTTGCATTTCCGGGCAGGGGGCGCGAACATGCCATTCAGGGACATGGCTTTCAATCACCAGGTCCCTCCTGGTGATTACTCACCGACGCCCAGTGATTGCCAAGGATCTCTGACGGGAGGGAGAACTGTTAGTTAACAAAACAGTTCTCCTCCCTGTCAGCTCCGCACACTGCTTTGCATGGCTGTGCACAGCTATGCAAAGCTGTGTGCTTACAGGGAAGCACACACACAGAACACCATGTAAAACAGCACACAGTTAACCCTTTGATCGCACCTCATGTTAACCCCTTCCTGCCCAGTGCCATTAGTACAGGGTCGGAGCTGTTTATTAGCACTGATCACTGTATTGGTGTCAATGGGGATGTCAGTGACACCAAGTCGGCTCCCCTCTGTGTCAGAATGCCCACCGCAGTTCTGTTATAAATCGCTGATTGTTGCCATTATAGTAACAATTTTTTTTAAAAAAGCCCAGTATCTATCTACCATGTGTAAACGCTATAACTTTCACGTTTAAAACTAATTAAGTTACATGTATTGGGATTTTTTGTTTTTTTTAGCAAAGACATGGAGCAGAATACATTTTGGCCTAAATTTATGAGGAAATTTGATTTTTTTCATTTTTTTTTTACTGGACTTGTTTAACTTCTTGCCGATCCGACCGCGCATAGCCGAATGACGGCTTCACCGCGGCCGGCTAGTTCTGAGTGGACGTCATATGACGTCCTCCTAGAACGCGCTCTCCTGTGCGCCCCAGGGGGCGCGCACCCGGCGATCTCCGTGATCGCTGTGTCCTACGGACACAGCTGATCACGTGATGTGGTGAAAGGCCGATCCCACTGGCCTTTTACCACGTGATCAGCGGTGTCCAATGACACGCTGATCACAGGGAAATGCAAGTGCCGGTTTCTCGGCTGCACTTTCCTCACGCTGTCAGATCGTGAGGAAAGTACTGCTGAGAACCGGCAGTTGTCAGAGCGGGGATCGGCACCGATCATCAGGGCACTGATGATCAGTGCCCTGATGATCGGTGCCCAGCAGTGACACCCGCAAGTTCCGCCCAGCAGTGCGCCCACTAGCCCCGCCCACCCGTTCCCAGCAGTGCCCCCACCTGTGCCCAGCAGTGCCCCCACCTGTGCCCAGCAGTGCACCCACCTGTGCCACTCTGCAGTGCCACCTACCTGTGCCCAGAAGTGCCACCTACATGTGCCCAGCAGTGCCACCCACCTGTGCCCACCCACCTGTGCCCACCAGTGCCACCCACCTGTGCCCACCAGTGCCACCCACCTGTGCCCACCCACCAGTGCTGCCCACCAGTGCCACCCACCAGTGCAGCCCAGCAGTGCTGCCAGTCAGTGCCCAGGGGTTGTGCCAGTCAGTGCCGCCAGTCAGTGCCCAGAAGTGATGCCAGTCAGTGCCGTCTATCAGTACCCATCATCAGTGTCACCTATCAGTGCCGCCTATCAGTGCTGCATATCAGTGCCGCCTATCCGTGACCCCTAATTAGTGCTGTCTATCAGTGCCGCCTATCCGTGCCACCTCATTAGTACTGCCTATCAGTGCCCTTTAGTGCTGCCTATCAGTGCCCATCAGTGCCGCCTCATCAACGCAAATCAGTGAAGGAGAAAAAATACCTGTTTGAAAAATTTTATAAAAGAAACAAATAAACTTTTTTTTTTTTTTTTCAAATTTTTTGCACTTTTTTTTTAATTTATAGCGCAAAAAGTAAAGCGCCCAGTGGCGATTAAATACCACCAAAAGAAATCTCTATTTGTGAGAAAAAAAATGATCAAAATTTCATATGGGTACAATGTTGCATGACCGCGCAATTGTCAATCAAAGTGCGGCAGCGCTGAAAGCTGAAAATTGGCCTGGTAAGGAAGGGGGTATAAGTGCCTGGTAGGCAAGTGGTTAATAGCAAAAAGTCAAAAAATATCGTTTTTTTTTCCTCAAAATTTTTTTTTTTTTTATAGCGGGAAATAATAAAAAACCGTAGAGGTGATCAAATACCACCGAAAGAAAGCTCTATTTGTGTGGAAAAAAAGAAATACATTTTATTTGGCTGCAGCGTTGCATGACCACGCAATTGTCAGTTAAAGCAATACAGCTCTGTAACGCAAAGAATGCCTGGTCGGGAAGGGGTGGGGGATCCTCTGGAGAGCAAGTGGTTAAACAAGAAGGGGAAGACAGATGAAAATACCAAAATCACATTAGTAAACAAGTTGTAGTGGCCAAAAACTGCCACTAGATTTTATCATACAACAAAACATTAAAACCTAATGCAGTTCAATACCATTACATGAAAGTAGGGAAGAGCAGAAAGGCTGGGGACTGACTGAGGAAACATACAATCGGGAAGCTCGGCCTTTAAACCGTCAACCCTTTGTTAGGACAGTGTTCAAATGTAGTACCACAGATGAGAAGATATCTGCCTGCAGTACGGACAGGGTTCATTATGGCAAACAAAGCTCCACAGCCCATTCACAGTAAACAAAAAGAACGGAGCAGGATTTTTCCTTTGCTGGAAGTTCCAGAAAAAGAACATTTGAGAGTGAGGCCGGCCATACACTATACAATTTTCTGTGCAATTTTCAACTATGTAGAACAAGGGCCGGCCTATTTGGATACAATTGAAGGCGTTGTTTAGGTTTGACCTCCTATTATATGGTTTTTGGTCAATCTAAACCAAAAATCTCAAGAAAATTGTATAGTGTATGGCCAGCCTAAGCTTCAATTGATTTTCTTTTTGTAGTTCGGTATGTGAATGGGGGACATGTGACAAATATGAAGTAGGCGTTATCCCAATTTGGCTGCAGAAAGTGGAAATACAACTGAAGTGGATTCTGAGCAGTAGATGCCATCTAGCGTCCATAAAGAATATCTGCAACATTTGTTTTTCTAGCTGAACAGAATCAATCAGACATTGAGGATATGGCCAGGTAACGTCTGAACACCGAGCCTTGTGCTGCTGAAAAACGTTCTACGGACTTACAGAATTCTACAAACACGTTCTTGGTCTCGTCGTAGGCGACGTCTTCAAAGTTGGTGCCCACAAGGACCTTGACGGGTTTCTTGTCCCAATCTTCCGGCAGCTCCTGGCTCAGCAGATTTTGCTGTATTCAATGTAACATAACATACATGGGTCAGTTATTGTACATGTGGGGTACGCAGAGCATGTATGTCCAGCCCGGGCGTTTACGACACCCTCGTCTGGACCCCTTCCTGATGGCCTTCACCACATCTCCACCTCTCTTCATTTTGGATAAAGGGAGGGTTAGAACCCCTGTTAGGGATTGTGTTTGCCATCTGTATCCCGTTGGGAGAGATTTCCCTTCACTTCCTGTCCCATAGTCACAACAGGAGGGAATCCCTAGTAGTCACCAGAACTAGAGTTCCCACTTGAAGATTGCCCCTCTCTTCAGGTCCTTTCACACGGGCGTTCCGTTTTTTTCATTAGTTCAGTTGCGTTTTTTTCTTTTTTCAAAATCAGAGCTAAACAGATCAAGACTTCACTTTTTACCTCCATTTTCATATCCGTTTACATCCGTTTTACATCAGTCTTTTCATCCATTTTTCATCCATGTACATCAACTTTTCATCCATTTACATCCACGTTTCATCCGCTTTACATCCACTTTTCATCTGTTTACATCCACTGTTCATCAGTTTAAATCCATTTACACTTTTCATTCATTTACATCCGTTTACATCCACATTTCATCTGTTTACATCCATTTACATCTCTATACTCTCTAGCTCCCTGGTCTCCACCTCCCACGCCTGACTGCAGGACTTCTCCAGGACTTGCCCCATCCTCTGGAACTCACTACCCAAATCCATTAGTCTGTCACCTACCTTCCTCACCTTTAGGCGCACGCTGAAAACCCATCTCTTCAGGGAAGCCTACCCCACCCTCACCTAACAGCCGATCTCCTCCACTCCTCCTACCACTCCATCCCCCACAGCCACTTCCTCCTGTACCACTACCCCCTCCCTCCTAGACTGTAAGCTCTAAGGAGCAGGGCCCTCGAACCCCTCATGTATTGTATTGTTACTGTATTGTCTCATGTTCTTTCCCCCCTATAATGTACAGCGCTGAGCAAACCTTTCTGGCACTATATAAATAATGTATAATAAATAAATACTGTATAATATACATCCGTTTACATCCACTTTTCATCCGTTTACATCCATTTACATCCACTTTTCATCTGTTTATATCCATTTACATCCACTTTTCATTTGGTTACATCCATTTACATCCGCTTTTCATCTGTTTATACCCATTTACATCCACTTTTCATTCATTTACATCCGTTTACATACGCTTTTTTCATCTGTTTACATTCATTTACATCCATTTTTCATTCATTTACATTCATTTACATCCATTTACCTCCACTTTTCATCCACTTACATTCATTTACATCTGCGTTTCATCCATTTACATTCATTTACATCCACATTTCATTGGTTAACACCCATTTACATCCTCTTTTCATCCATTTACATCTGTTTACATCCATTTACATCCGCTTTTCATTTGTTTATATCCATTTGCATCCATTTTACATTCATTAACATCTGCTTTTCATCCGTTTACATCCACTTTTCATCTGTTTACATCCACTTTACATCCGCTTTTCATCCTCTTACATCCAATTTTTATCCGTTTACGTTCATTTACATCCATTTTTCATTCATTTACATCCGCGTTTCATCCGTTTACATTCATTTACATCCACTTTTCATTTGTTTACATCTATTTACATCCGATTTTCATCCGTTTACATCCTTTTTTAAAAAATCTGTTTACCTCCATTTTTGATCCATTTACATATGTTTTTCATCAGTTTGGTTTTTTTTATTTATGTAAGAAAAATAGGGTTTTCTTCTGTTCAAAAAAAACGGATGTTAAGGGATGCAGACAATAACGTGTGTAAACAGATGATCATCCGTTTACATCCGCTAGTCCATAGAAATACACGGGTGTCTGTTTTTCATCTGTAAACAGACCGATGAAAACGGACATACGGAATGCCCGTGTGAAAGGACCCTTTCTCTCCTGATGGTTTCTTTCACTTTCAGTCTCGGTGATAACATTCACCAGGACAAGTAAAGAGGGTGAATCTCCCTAATGGGGGCACAGACAGCAACAAAAACTTGACAGGTGTTCCCTTCTCTATCCAGAAATCTTAAAAAAAAAGTTTCAGCTTTAGTTATAATTTAAGGGCCAGCTCACACCACATGCAGTCCTGTGCGATTTTTTTTTTTTCTGCATCAAAAACACATTGATAGTAGGTTACATGGTTTCCAATGGCATAGTTCACACCAGTGCGGTCACCAAAATGCCATGGACTGCACATGTCGTTACTTAGGTAGACAAAAAAAGAGGGGGAAGAAATTAACCAGAACGCATTAAAAAAGAGGCACCGAATGCAACAAAAACGCACATACAGAAAAACGCATCAGAGAAAAATCAGGTCACCTGCCCTGGGCTGTGTGGCAGAGCTGTATAGATCTCAGGACTGGATGGACTGAAATACATGTGCTTTTGTAGGTACAACAGCTCCTTGATTTGTATTGCTTCTTTGTATTTAGCTGTTTGCTTTGTGTTTGGTTGTAATAAATAGTGAAAAAGCAATATCCTACTTAGATTGTAAGCTCCCAGGATCAGGACCCTCCTAACCCAGTGGTGTATTTAGGTTTTATGCTGCCCTAGGCAAGACAAAAATTGCCCCCACCCACAGACATTAACCAACAACACCCCAGCCCCCCTCACCTGAAAGAGCCTTCCACTACCACCGGGCAACCCCCCCCCCCCCACCCCACCCCGGCAAGAGGTAAGACTCTCACCTTCACAGCTCCGGACATCTCCGGGAACAAGAGTCAGGCTCTGCATACACCATCAAGCAGCCCACAGCCTCTCTCAGATCTGACCTGGTCCCCGTGCTGCGTGTGTCCCTTCTTCCATCCCTTCTTTCAGTGCTGCCCCCTGAAAAATGCCACCCTAGGCAAATGCCTTGTTTGCCTTGTGGTAAATACACCCCTGTCCTATCCCTCTTGTATTGAACTGTATTGTCTCCCTTTATATAGTAAAACGCTGAGCAAACTGTTGGCGCGATATATAAATCCTGTATAATAATAATAATACTCAGTAAGAATTCAGTCTGACCAGTACAAGAATAAATCTGAATGCAATAATGTCTGCACATCTCTGCGTTGCAGTCACCCTCTGCATGCAAGGACTAGAGTTGTGTCTCCCTACACTGTGTGTATCAATAGAAACACGCAGCCCCGTAGCCTAGCATGGTAAGGCTTCTCCCTCATCCTTCCCCCTCTCTTCTCCAAGCTAACAGGGAAGCAGCACTGAAAGAGTACGAGCCAGCAGCTGGAGTATCAGTTTCCAGGGCCTAGCATGGCAGGACGAAGCCAATAAAGACATTTATATTCAATAAACGTTTGTCACCTTGATTTTCCCATCCAGGACCCCACGGCAGAATTCCCTCACGGCCTCTGTTGTTATTTTGTCCTTGAAGGCGTATTTCTTCACCTGGTCGATGTTGATGAATCGGATAGTTGGGATATCGCTCTGCTGGAGTCCAAAGTATTCTAGAACTCCCGCGTGAGGGCCGGAAGAATCGATGGAGACATAGAGGACCTGAGAGAGGCAAGGAGAAGACAACATTTTTAAAGTTCTCGGAGTTACTCTTTACGTCAGAGTGCCATTTGTAATTCTGTGTGCTGTAATTGAAACGTAATTGAAGTGCAGCTCCCACCGAAACCTTTCTACGGCTTCTATACCAGCTCTCCTCCCCCAGGGTTCCATGAAGATGCTAGGGGTTCCATGACCCATGAGCAATTTCCTACTCCCAGGTAAAGATTGTTTAGCTAACTGTAAGGGAGGAATTATTCCAACTCCTCGCAAGACCTCCTGTCAGGAATGGACTTGCCAATGGTGGTGGGACTCACCTGCCTTGTGGGCTGCAGTACCAAGGCTGGCCAGCGGGTGCTCTCAGCAGCCAGAATCTTACTCCTGCAATCAGGCCATCACCTGAGGTTGATTGCAGGAGGTGTATTTAAGCAGGACCAGGCCTGTGATCAGTGCCTTGCTGTATGTTTCCCATGAGCCCCTGTACCTGCATCCTGTCTGCTTCCTGCCTGATCCTGACTCTGAACGAACTCCGCCTGTCCTGACCTCGGCTATTCCTGACCACTCTTCCGCTCGCTCCTGGTACCCTGTTTGCCCATTTGCTACCGACCCGGCCTGCCCGACTACGTTTGATTAGTATATATGGTATCTGTTGGAGGTTGGGTTGTTTGCACTGTGTTATGTTTACCTTGCACTGCGTTTGTGTTGTTTAGTCTTTTAATAAATTGTCTTGTTTACTCTATACCTGAAGCCTGCGTTTCCCTGTGTCAGTCCACACACCTCTGGTCATACCCGGAGCCCTGACACCTCCTACTCTCTAGCTCCCTTGTCTCCTCCTCCCATGCTCATCTCCAGGACTTCTCCAGAGCTTCCCCCATCCTCTGGAACTCTCTACCCCAATTTATCAGACTATCGCCTACTCTACTCACTTTTTAGGCGATCTCTGAAAACCTATCTCTTCAGGGAAGTCTATCCTGCTCTCAGCTAATAATGGAATCTTCTACTCTTCCAACCAGTCCATCCCCCACAGTTATTACCTTTCGTACCACTAGCCCCTCCCTCCTAGATTGTAAGCTCCCAGGATCAGGGCCCTCCTATCCCTCTTGTATTGAACTGTATTGTTGCTGTATTGTCTCCCGTTATATTGTAAAGCGCTGAGCAAACTGTTGGCGCTCTATAAATCCTGTATAATAATACTGGCCACCAACGTAAGGGCCCTTGTCCAACGCACTCTTCCATCGACCACAGGGCTGCCATTATAAATCATGGCGCCATACAGCCAACCTGACCTATATGGTCATGAGGATCAGCAGAGAATGGAAGTGTTGAGCTACTGACTGAACTCACCTTTCTGCACTGATCGCTGCAAGAAGAGTTACCAGCAACATTCTATACATATACCAGGAGGGTCACTTAAACTCGGTTCACACTACTTCGACCTGAAAGTCGTGTGACTTACACTGCGACTTTGCTGGGAAACTTGAGTACTACTTTGACGCGACTATGAAGCAACTTTAAGGGAATGCCTGGGTAATCTTCCTGTAATGTCAGATCCAAATCACATCAATATAGATGAGGGCTCGACTTGGAGGCGACTTCTATTAAAGTCTATGGGCACAAGTCAGCTAGAAGACGCCTTGAAGTAGTACAGGAACCTTTCCTAAAGTCGGAGCGACTTCAGCAGTGCTAATTAAGTAAGCACTGCAGTCCAAAGCTCCTGTAGGGCTGAGCAAGACCAGAATATGGGGAGCAAAGTACCTTCCTCCTAAATGCATCTCCAGCAAAGAGAGGATATTTGGGGATCGATTTTATGTAGGTGTTGGGGAGTCTTGCACCATCGTGACATTTTATAGTCATTCTCATAGCGATAGATGTCTTTTAGAGGTGAACAGGAGTCTCCTATCTTTTTTGGGATTGGGAAAAAGATCGCTGTAGGTCGCCCTCTCATTTCCGCAAAAAGGAATGGTCGCGTGGTGGCGTGTCTGAGATAAGCATGGAATAGGACAGGGTCGAAGTATGTCTCAGGAGGGTGTTGTCCTGCACACTGGGCATTTACCTGGCTCTTCTGAAGGCATCTTCTCCTGGCAGGAGAAAAGTAGCAATAAAAACGCACCTAAGGACACATTTTTCAAACACATTTAGGTGCGTTCAGGTGTTTGGGTATTCATTCATTTCATTGGCCAGAATATTCATTTATTCTGGCCATTAAAATGAATGAACACCTAAGTGCTAAACGTGCCTAGTGCTTCTGTGTGTTTAGATGCATTTATTTATTTTATATTTCAGGTACTTCTATAGCGCCGTAAATTTACGCAGCACTTTACATATATATTGTACATTCACATCAGTCCCTAACCCTCAAGGGGCGTACAATCTAAGGTCCCTAACCCTCAAGGGGTGTACAATCTAAGGTCCCTAACCCTCAAGGGGTGTACAATCTAAGATCCCTAACTCACATTCATACATATACATACTGGGGCCAATTTAGGACAATTTAGCCAATTACCGACCAGCATGTTTTTGGAGTGTGGAAGAAACCGGAGGAAACCCACACAGGCACAGGGAGAACATGCAAACTCCAGGCAGGTGGTACCGTGGTTGGGATTCGAACCAACGACCCCAGTACTGCCAGGTGGAAGTGCTAACCATTTAGCCACTGTGCTGTACATGTTTATGCACATTCTACGTTTTTTCTTATGGAATTCTCCTCTCCTTAATGCGCAAATGATTTTTTTGTGTTTTCTGCCTCTAAATGCCTGTAAACGCCTATGTACGCAAGGACACATAGGCTACCATAGAGGGGTGTTTAGAGGTAGAAAACAAAAAAAGTTCAAGTGCCCTTAAAGGTGGCATTTTTGATGTTCAGTGTGCATGAGGCCTTAAAGTGTATTCTGTTGTTACTGCAGGACTTGTGGAATACTGAATCACTCACCTTGCCTTTGAATTCAGCAGCTGCACCACGAAAATTCTCCAGCAGCTGGAGCTGTGACTCTTCTGTCTTGTTGATAAACAGCAGGAGGTGGTTGGGGATCTTGGCAGCAAAAATTCTTTCTGATGTCTGTTGAAAGTAACAATTTTTATTTATTGATCACAAGTGGGTTTTAGTCACTAGCTCAGCTTCTTTCCTATATGGCATGTAGCTAAATGGTATTATTTCAGGTACTTATATAGCGCCGTAAATTTACGCAGCACTTTACATATATATTGTACATCACATCAGTCCCTGACCCTCAAGGGGCGTACAATCTAAGGTCCCTAACCCTCAAGGGGCGTACAATCGTCCCTAACCCTCAGGGGGCGTACAATCTAAGGTCCCTAACTCCTAAGGTCCCTAACCCTCAAGGGGTGTACAATCTAGTCTCACACTGGATTGCTGCACAGATCTGGGAGAAATACACAAAGCACATCAAGATTCAAGGAGGAATACATGTGGGTCTTGGAATAAGATAATATTTGCTTATCCCAGAGTTCAGCTTTAAAATGTTCCTTAACCCTGAACCCTGCATTCACTATATCCGCTCTCCCCGGACCCTGCATTCACTATATCCGCTCTCCCCGGACCCTGCATTCACTATATCTGCTCTCCCCGGACCCTGCATTCACTATATCCGGCCTCCACGGACCCTGCATTCACTGTATCCGGTCTCCCAGAACCCTGCATTCACTATATTTGGTCTCCCCAGACCCCGCATTCACTATATCTGGTCTCCCTGGACCCCGCATTCACTATATCCGGTCTCCCCGGACCCTGCATTCACTATATCCGGTTTCCCCGGACCCTGCATTCACTATATCCGGTCTCCCCGGACCCGGCATTCACTACATCCGGCTCCCCGGACCCCGCATTCACTATATCCGGTCTCCTCGGACTCTGCATTCACTATATCCGGTCTCCCTGGACTCCGCATTCACTATATCCGGTCTCCCCGGACCCTGCATTCACTATATCCGGTCTCCCCGGACCCAGCATTCACTATATCCGGTCTCCCCGGACCCTGCATTCACTATATCCGGTCTCCCCGGACCCAGCATTCACTATATCCGGTCTCCCTGGACCCAGCATTCACTATATGCGGTCTCCCCGGACTCTGCATTCACTATATCCGGTCTCCCTGGACTCCGCATTCACTATATCCGGTCTCCCCGGACCCCGCATTCACTATATCCGATCTCCCTGGACCCAGCATTCACTATATCTGGTCTCCCAATGGGTGGATCTGAGGAGTGGAGGCTTGGCAAGGGGCCAGGACAACCCTTAAAAGTAAGAGAACCTGCAATGCAGGAGGGGAGTTCGGGTGGAAGTGAAAGAGAGAAAGATGTGAGGCAGGAGCCTGTGAGGGGGCCCAGATGGAGAGGGGCTCAGCTGCAGGCAGAGGACCTTGGAAGGTGGAAAACCTGGTCATCACCGGCCCCCTGAGAGAGGACCACCTGTGTGGCAGGGAAGGAGCAGCCTAGCTAGAAGGCCTGGTAGCAGCCATCAACCTACCGGCAGCACAGGAGAGGGACCAATGAAGTAAACCTGCACCCCCTGGGCCAGTAAGGGGAAATGAGCACTCTAGTGGGGAACTGGATTTGCTATCTTACCCAGGACTGTTTCACACTGTAGTAGCAGGCACTGGATCCCCTGCCCAGAAATTCACCCAGTACAGCTGGATGAGAAGAGGAGTCATCTAGGGTCTAGGGTGGTACTACAGGAGATGCTGGATAGCTCTACAGAAGATAAACCTTGCTGTGTACATAGTTGCTAAGGAGTTTGTCCTCAGTTGCCATTTCTTTTGGGCATCCCATACACCCCTTACCCCGTCCAAGTTCTAAAACCCCTAATAGAACTTCAAAACAAAGCTCAAGGACTGGTTTCTGAAGAAACAAAGCTCAAGGATTGGTTGATTGAGAGGTTTTACGGCAAGCTTCCAAAATTTCATCCAATAGCAAAGTGTAGAAGAGATGCTGTTCTGTTTGAGCTGCCTGGCCACTCACATGCAGGAAAAACTGATCTGGATCTCTTGTGGTGAATGATAGCATCAAAAATCTGTTTCAGGGTAATATACTGCATCAGGGTGCCGACAGACAATATCGATCTAAGAGTCGGTCAGTCATGATGGTCAGACCATTGGTGTTCCTCTACAAACATGACCATGCAGGTGTGTTCACATGGAGGGTGGAGGTACTTGTGGCTCTAGTCTATCTTAAGGGGGATGGGGGTGAGGGTATGCATTATCGAGTGGCCAGGAAGAATAATCCAGTCCCTGACAATCCTGCTCAAGACGTCTCCACCAGGAGATGTCCACTAGTTTGGGAAGGACTGGGCGGACCAAGAAATAATACAGAGAGACCCTTTAAATAGAATCAGAGAAGACTCACCTGATCATTGTACTCTGTGACCAGATCCATGCTGTTTGCCATCAGAAATCGAAACAGCTCGTCCTTGTCCAAGCCCAGATCCTCGTCCAACTTATATTCATATTTCTCACCGGACTAAAAGAACAAAGGATTTTATTTGTACAAAATCAGCCATCCAAAATCTCCAAACAATCCAGCAGATAAATATAATGAATCCAAGGCCAAAACATTCTTTTTTTTTTTAACTTTGGATGTAGTATATGGAAGGGTTAGACCCCCCTGTGAGTTTTATTTTGTGTGTGTCCCCACCTGGAGGATTCACACTCGTCCTGGTGACTACCGTCCATCTGAGTTGTCACTAGAACAGGAATAGAGGGAAAATCCTCCAAGAAGGACACTAGTTCTGGTGGTATGTATCTAAGGGGGATTTAAAAAATATAGAAAAATACAGAGGGGTGGGCACCTAACAAATAAATAAATAAATGCATTTCCATTTTTTGGACATTCATAGATTTTTTTTGGCAAGGACCTTAAAAAGACCTATTAAAACACCCCTGTTGTGTATGATTCATCTGCGATGTTCTGGAATACGCTGATTTTCAGCCAATGCATTTCTTGGAACAAAGTCCTCTTTTTCAAAGATGTATATGCAGTTCAGAGGATATAAAGAAAACAGACATACTGTATATCATATAATGTGATACGTGATACATGATACATAGTATCTCTTGTTTTCTTTATATAATTATTGTTTACTACAAGAATTCAGATACAGAAGTGTAAAATTGGCCAGTATCAGGTTTTTAGGGATAATAGGCCTAACTGGTGTATGCCTCACTTTTGTTTTTTACTCTATGGGGATAGGAGGGCGCAGTAATAGTGACTGATATAATAGATGGTTTAGGTGCATCCTTTTGAATGATATAACAGCATGATGAGAACAAAAACCAGCATTCCTTGTTCCATTCTGTATGCAACAGTGTTGTAAAATACAATAGTTTTATTAACCGCTTCCCGACCGCTCTATAGCAGAAATACTGCTACAGGGCAGCACGGGCGTGCAAAATCACGCATATATATATATGATTTTGCATTTCCAGGTAGGAGGCGCACGCGAGCCACGCACGTTCCCTACCCACACCGCAATTCAGAGCTGCGGCTGTCGATCACCGGCTCCCAGCCGGTGATTACTCGCTGGCGCCCGGTGATTTCCCAGGATCTCCATCGAGGAGGAGAACTGTTTTTGCTTACTAACAGTTCTCCTCCCTGTCAGCTCGGGCACACTGCACAACACAGCCCTCCAAAGAAGTGTGCTTACAGTGAAGCACACAGACACCGCCCCCTAGTAAAAAACACTCGCAGCACACAGTTAACCCTTTGATCACCCCTCATGTTAACCCTTTCCTGCCCAGTGCCATTAGTACAGTGTCAGTGCATTTTCTTAGCACTGATCACGGTATTGGTGTCACTGGGGATGTCAGTGACACCAAGTCAGTTCCCCCCTCCAGTGTCAGAATGTCCGCTGCAGTCCCGCTATAAGTCGCTGCTCTCCACCATTACTAGTAAAAAATATAAATTAAAAAAAAAATCTCAGTATCTATACCGCCATTTGTATACACTATAACTTTCGCGTAAACTAATTAATTTACACGTATTGAGATTTTTTTTTTTAGCACAGACATGGAGCAGAATACATTTTGGCCTAAATTTATGATGACATTTTTTAAAAAAATTTTACTGGACATGTTAAATAGCAAAAAATCAAAAATATTGTTTTTTTTTTTTCTCCAAAATTATCGGTCTTTTTTTGTTTATAGCACAAAAAAATAAAAACCGCAGAGATGATCAAATATCACCAAAAGAAAGTTCTATTTGTGGGAAAAAAAGGACACAAATTAAATTTGGGGGCAGCGTTGCATGACCGCGCAATTGTCAGTTAAAGTAACGCCGTGCCGTATCGCAAAAAATGGCCTGGTCGGGGGGGGGGGGGGGGGGGGGAATCCTCAGGAGGGCGAGGGGTTAAGGTGTCATGTATGAACAACTTTAGGACCTATAGTTTACCGCCATTTCATGAATGCGTGCAATTTTGAGTCTTGACATGTTTGGTATCTTTTTACTTGACGCCACATCATCTTTTATAGTTTGTATTATATTGTATTTGCGGGCAATAAAATGTATTTGAGTGTTTTTCTGAAAATTTGCATTTGATAAATGACTGCATAAAAATTCCAACCACCAAGCGACCTCCGCTTTCAGAAAATATATAACGTTTATGAGGTTTTAAGTCATTTTCTAGCCAAAAATGTTGATTTGAACAGGTGTGCAAAAAATGTAAGAAATAGTCCTGGACAGCAAGTAGAGAAGATCGAACCTTGGTGAAGAAGAGGACGGTGTCTGCAGTGACCCCGTACTTCTGGAATAATTCCTCCTTATGTGTGATGGCAAACGTGAAATCCTCCGAACTAGCAGCAACTTCATAAAAGGTATTCACATCCACGTCTTGGGGGTCCTGGGGAGGAGCAGAATGACTACATGACATGTAAATCCACACAGATCGATTTCTTAAACCTCAGACATGAAATATGAACAAAGCACATCCCTCTATAGTGTGTACTTGTCTCAGTCCAGAGCAGACATGAAATATGAACAAAGCATATCCCTCAATAGTGTGTACTTGTCTCAATCCACAGCACTAAGTGTCATTTCTGTCTGCTGCCTAATTCCTCCGCTATCAGCATGAATCACTTCTGACAAGTTTTCTTGACACCAAGACAATAATGCTGACAGGGGAGGAACCTCCAGCAGATTGACAGCTTCAGCTTTGTCCCTGTGTGCCGTGTGAATGGAGGTGCGTCTCTTCCCTCCAATCAGCTCTCAGAGCTCTCCTCACTTAGCTGTAACTTCATCTCTCCGCCCCCTTTATTTGGACTTTTAGAAACACTTTATAAATTCAGCACCTTTTGACACCAAGAGAAAAAAGGTGATGGAAGAGAGCTCCAGCACACAGCCTTTGACTGACAGCCTCAGCTCTCATTCTGTGAGCTCTGTGAAGGGGGGGTGTCTCTTCCCTCCAATCAGCTCTCAGAACTCACTAAGCTCTGCAGAGTGTAACTTCATCTCTCCACCCCCTTTATCTGGACTTCTAGACAAACTTTATAAATTCAGCATCTTCTGACACCAAGAGAAAAAAGGTGATAGGGGAGAGAGCTCCAGCACACAGCCTGTGACTGACAGCCTCAGCTCTGATTTTGTGAGCTGTGTGAAGGGGGGGATTTCTCTTCCCTCCAATCAGCTCAGAACTCACTGAGCTCTGCAGAGTGTAACCTCAACTCTCCACCCGCTGCTTTCTGAAATCCCAGACAAGCGGTATACATTCTGGTCCATGAATGGCTGTAGAGAAGAGAAGGCTGCAGATAAACATGTACAATGGCCTGTAGGAGGATTTGTTTCATCCCTGGGGCCAGTCACTTCACTGGGTATATGTAAGGGTTTACAACCACTTTAAACTGCATTGTCACTGCTGCTCCCCTCCTGAAAATGCTAGTTACCTGGCTGTGTGACCCTCCACTCACTGACCTTAACCAAGCATGCAGATCAGAAAAGTCGGAGGTCCGTATTGGAGGATGACAGCCAGGCAACCGGCATTTTTAGAATGAGAGACGGCACACTTTGGGATTTTTCTTTGGGAAGGGTTCTAGAACCTGATCACTGCACGGGAACCTGCCATGCCCAGGGTGACCCACCTGGAAGAAGGCCAAGACGGAATACTCATGAGACTTGATGAACTCGTCTGCTTCAGCGGGTGTTTCAATGACCACGGAGGAGGCCTCCATCTTCCTCAGGATCCATTTGACGATTCCGTCTGCGTCTCTTCTGCCTAAGAGGGGAAATCAGAGGTTACCATCGGTATACATTGGACAGCACGGTGCGGCGCTGGTGTCCTGTGATCAGTTCCCTCCGGGGCACTGGGTACTGTTGGTGTGTCCTCCTTGTTAGCCTTTGCAGCAATGGTGCGGAGTGAGAGAACCATACTTCTACTCCTGCCACGTTACCTCCAAAGTCGATGCGACTAGTTCGGTTTCCTTCCTTAAAGAACAGGATGGTGGGGTAGCCCTTGACAGCAAATTCTTCGCTCAATTCATTTGCCACCGTAGCGTCCACTTTGGCGAGCCGGGCCTCTGACGTCTGGCTCTTCAGGGCCTCCGCTGCCTGGCTGTACTTGGGGGCGAGTTCCTGGCAGTGGCCACACCATGGTGCATCTGCAATAGAGAAGACGTAAATGTTCACATGTAGCAGTTAGAGGAGGCACTCCAGAAACATCACACATTATGTTCCCTTATCCCGGGGCACTGTGAAAGCGGTTGTAACCCTTGCATATACCCAGTGAAGGGACTGGCCTCAGGTGATACAGACATGAAAACAAATCCTCCTACATAAGTTGTACCTGTTTATCTACACTCTTCTCTACATCTGTTCAAAGTGCTGAATTTATAAAGCTTGTCTAAAAGTCCAGATACTGGGGGCGGAGAGCTGAGGTCACACTCTGCAGAGCTCAGTGAGGAGAGCTCTGAGAGCTGATTGGAGGAAAGGACACACCTCCCTTCAAACGGCACACAGGGACAGAGCTGAGGCTGTCATTCTGCTGGAGGTTCCTCCCCTGTCACCATTATTGTCTTGGTGTCAAGAAAACTTGTAATAAGTGATTCATGCTGATAGCAGAGGAATGAGGCAGCAGACAGAAATGACACTTAGTGCCGTGGATAGAGACAAGTACACACTACAGAGGGATGTGCTTTGTTCATGTTTCATGTCTGCTCTGGACTGAGACAAGTACACACTACAGAGGGATGTGCTTTGTTCATGTTTCATGTCTGCTCTGGACTGAGACAAGTACACACTACAGAGGGATGTGCTTTGTTCATGTTTCATGTCTGCTCTGGACTGAGACAAGTACACACTACAGAGGGATGTGCTTTGTTCATGTTTCGCGTCTGCTCTGGACTGAGACAATTACACACTATAGAGGGATGTGCTTTGTTTATATTTCATGTATGCTCTGGACT